GATCGCCGGAGCCCAGCAGGTCAAGGCTGCGGTGACTGGGAGTGGCCACTGCACTCCAGCTTGGGCGACCGAGTGAGACTCCAACTCAAAAAAAAAAAAAAAGAAAGTGATGTCATTCCAAAATGATGAAATCTGACTGTGGGCCTATTTCCTTTTAAATAATTTTTGTTTGTTTTGGCCAAAATTATTTTTTAAGTGAATATATCTTACATTTTTAGAGCAGTTTTACATTTATAGAATAACTGAGCAGATAGTACAGAGTTCCCCTAAGCTGTCCTCTCTCCCTCTTTTACTATTATTACTAATCTTACATTTATGATACATTTGGTACAATTAATAAACCAATATTGTCACTTTTTATTAATTAAGGCTCATACTTTATTTATATTCCTTAAGAATTTGTTTCTTTGTTCCAGAGCACCATCCAGAATACCATTACAATTAGTTGCCATTCTCCTTAAGCTCCTCTTGGCCATGACATTTTCTCAGATCTTCTTTGATGATTTTTACAGTTTTGAAGAGTGTTGGTCAGGTAAATCGTAGGATGTTCCTGTATTGGAATTTGCTTGATGTTTTCCTCATGATTAGACTGGGGCTATAGGCTTTTGGGATGAAGATCACAGAGATAAGGTACCATTTTTATTTTATGTCAAAGGTGCATGCCATCAACATGATTTACTGACTATCGATGTTGATTTGGTCACCTGGTCGAAGTAGTTTGTCATGTTTCTAACTATAAAGTCACTTCTGCCCTATGCCCCCTTTCCACATCATATTCTTTGGAAGGAAGTCACTATGGATAGTCAACACATAAGCAGAAGTTAGGCTTCTTCTCTGGGGTGAAGTATCTAGATAATTTATTTAGAATTCTACTGCAAGAAGATTTGGACCAGATTCTTTTAAGTAGGTGGATTTATTTGTGTTTGGGGATTATTCAGAAAAGCATTTTGTGGCTATAATTTTGCATGTTCATTTGGAAAAACAATCATTCTCTTGTTTTTCAATTGCCTCTAGATTATAAACTTCATTAATTCCATGAACTCTCTGAAGTCAAGGACCTTATCTGTCTTCTTTCATCTTGGCACCTAGAAAGCTCCCTGAACAAATTACAGAAGAAACAAACACCAAAATGACCATTGGAAACATTTTCATTGAACATTCTCTGAAACTATATATATATATATATATATATATATATTTTTTTTTTTTTAGAGTCAGGTTCTTGCTCTATCACCCAGACTGGAGTGTTGTGGCATAATCATATCTCACTGCAGCCTCAACCCTCTGGGTTTAAGCAATGCTCCTGATCTAGCCTCATGAGTATCTGTGACCACAGGCATGCCTCACCCTGCCTGGTTAATGTTTTTATTTTTTTGTTGAGAGAAGAGTCTTGCTATATTGCTAAGACCAGTCTCGAACCCCTAGCCTCAAGTGATTCTCCAGTCTTGGCCTCCCAAAGTGCCACCATGCCCAGCCTGAGACTAAAAATTTTATTCACATAAAACTCTGGCTGCTCTGACAAATAAAATTTGATAAACTAATAATTTCTACTATAGATACTTCCTCAAAAAGGGTAGTGTTTCTGAAAGCAAAATAGATTTTTAGTATTCTCTCTTTAGTTTGGAATTTGTGAATTCCAATGAGATGGGATGTGAGGATTCATTTTTCTTAGGAAACTTAATAGGTATTTTGGCTGCCATGAAGAGGTCCTGACTTCTCTTATTTAACAAATGAACGTCCAGGGAAAAAAAAAAAATGACTTTCATGTCCAGAAGAGGGACTTCTTCTGAGACTCTCTGAAATTTGAGATGTCAGAAGTATTTCTCCCCTACAATTGTTGGGAAAAGGAGCACGTTTATTCTCTAGGGGAACTGAAGCATAATGAAATGCAATCTAAGAACATGCAAACTTATTATCTACCAGGATGGTTGAATGGTTCCAATCAAATGGAGGATGGAAATAGGGGCTTTATATTCGGATTTTGGAAAAATGACTCCACAGTTATATTTAGGTACAACAGTGCCTGCGAGTACCTGAAATGTGGCAGTCTGTGGCTTGTTCATAACATAATGAATACATTTGCTCTTTGAAACTTATCATGGGAGCTAGGTAAAAAGCTCTCTCAAATTATTCCTGCAAATGGAAGAAACACTTGTATTGTGCATGATAAAAAGCTGCCCCTGTCTAAATGATAGTTTGGTATTTTTTTAATTGGCTCTTCAGAGGGCTACCTTTGTGCCAAAGACTACTTAGAGTAGGTGGACCTTAAGACTTGAAAAAAAGTCACAGACTTTATTTCTCTCACTCTTAGAAATTGCTAAGAAGTGGTGCTATGTAGCATTATTAGCAGCAGGAATCTTTTCATGAGAATATTCTCTTTTCTAGGTCTCCAGGGGCAAAAATCTTTGTACTGGGAGGATGGCCTTTTTAAGAGCACAAATCTGCTGTCTTTTGTTACTTGAAATTTGTTAATAATTGCTCATTGTTTTTAGATTAAAAATAAAAATCTGAAATGTGATCTATAACCCTGGAACAGTTTTGACTCTGGTTTGTATCCCAGGGACTTTGCACATGATCTCTCTGTTTGAAATGCATTTCCTTCACCTTCCTTTACTAGTTAACTTCTACCTGTCTTTCTCAGATCCCAGCCCGGATATTGATACCCATAAGAAGCTTCCCTGACTGCTCATGCTAGACCAAGCTCCTTTGCTTATTTTCATATAACTCTCTGAGACTGTGTTTATCACAGTCAGTACTAACTGCCTGCCTCTGCTAGATTATTAGGACAGAGACCATGTCTATTTGGCTCACTACTAAATGCCCAGGCACATAGGAGGTACTCAATGAATACACAGTCTATGAATGAATGAATGGAGGTGAATTATACATTTTATCTTTGCATACATTTTTAAAATACTTAATATGCTCATCAGCATAAACAAGTTTGCTCTCTTATTGTAATAAGGAAAAAGAAAGGTCATCTTTCACTTTATTTCATGAGATGGCTAGATGAAAGTAAAGGTTAAGTACATGGGTTTTGTAATGATACAGGTTCAAGTTCCAAACCTAATTCTACCCCATACTGGTTGTATGATCATTGAAAGTTCCTTAGCGTTCCCCAGTATTTCAGTTTCATCATCTGTAAAATAGGTGAGATCTGTGTTTGAAGCCCTGATCCGCCAATAATTAATCGTGTAACTTGGTTTTAGTTAATAATCTCTCTAAGTTTCACGATTTATAACTATAAAATGAGGCTAATAGTATCTATCTGTTTATCTCTTAGGGTTATTAGGAGTATGAATTGAATGTGTCTGTACGTACATACAAACATATATTAAATGAATATATATTTGTTTGTAAACATATGAAAAGGTGCTCACTCCATGGGGAATAAATCAATAAAAGCAAAACAACAACATCCATTATTTTCTTTCTATTGGAATTCCAAAGACAAAAAGTTGGCTAACGCATGCTGTTGTTAACAATGTAGAGAAAGATGCACTCTTAGACACTGTCAGTGGGTGCGCAAAGTGGTGAAATATCTTTGAAAATATCTAATAAGATTGGAATACACATCCAATGTGACCCAGAAATTCCCCCTCTAGAATTTCATCCTACAATTACAATCATGCATATTCACAAAGATGCTTGTATAAGAATAGCAGTGCAGTGTGGCCATACAACTACTAGAAACAACGAAGTTCAGCCACAGAACATGTCAAAAAAGTATGGAATTGATAAAATAAAATGTTATATGGCCACTATATGTACTGATAGAGCCGGCACAGTGGCTCATGCCTGTAATCCCAGCACGTTGGGCAGCTGAGGCAAGAGGATTGCCTGAGCCCAGGGGTTTGAGACAAGCCTGGGCAACATGGAAAGACCTGGTCTCTACAATAAATAAAAAAATTAGCCAGGTTTGGTGGCTTGCACCTGTAGCTCCAGCTTCTTGGAAGGCTGAGGCAAAAGGATCACCTGAGCCCAGCAGGTCGATGCTGTGGTGGCCGTGAGCGTACCACTGCACTCCAGCCTGGGCGACAGAGTGAGACTCCAACTCAGGAAAAAAAAAAAAAAAAAAAGAATATATTATCTCTATGCAGTGTTAGAGATCCTAGTGCTAGTTTTGATTCAGTTTTAGAGTCTCGATATTCCTGATATCCTTGCTCAAATAAACATTCTGTATTAGAAATGCAGATCTGCCAGTGATTACATTTGAAACTGTTTGGTGATTTCTAGATGCTCCTTTATTCTCTGTTTGTAGTTTCTCCAGTGTCAGTTTTCCCAGCAGAAAAGACTGCTTGAGGAAATTCAGACTGGTGAGCCCTCCTCATGATGTCCTACAGCCATCAACTTTTTCATTCAGAAAGGACAGCTCAGGGATGAAACACATCTCCAGGCCTTCCAGCCTTGGAACTGCATGAACATTATACATGATTTTTATCTTAAGGCATACTCTTACTTTGTTGATCAGTGCAGTTAGGAAATTACCAAATGCTTTCAGATTTGTCTGTGCCCCAAGTGAATATGTTTGGGTAGTTCCTTTGATACTGATGAAGAAGGTAAGGTTAAAGCTGATTTCCAACCAAGTGCTACCCAGATGCAAGTATTGTGAACTCTGGAAAATTATTGAGGGAATTGCCACCTCCTAGCAATGCTCTCTATTCTAGAATACTCTGAGGTCTAAGAACTTTGAAAAAAGCTTAGGTGGTAATTAATTAATTTGTCCAACTAGGGACAATCAGTTGGCAAATGGATATTTTTCTTTTAAAATTATATTTTAATAAAGGTATTTAAAGCCTTGAGATATTTTTCAATCATTCCGCTGCAATATAATGGTTTATTTTAGAACCTCTATGAGCTTGATTTGTATTTAAGATTTTTACAATCTATATATAGGTTGGTCTTTAATAACCATTTATGCATTGCTTCTTTTTATATAGGTCATGTATTCTCCTGGGAGAGTAACAAGATTAGAAATAACAAATACAGTACAGAATAAATTAAAGTGCTTCAAACTGCATTATATAATTTCAGAAAATTGGTTTCACACTGAAACATTTAAATAAGAAAAACAAATGATTTAAGAAAAAAAAAAAAACCAGAGTGTATGCATTTGAATTGCTATTGTTTAACAAATTTTATCCTCAGCAGTGTGGTACTGGTATCTTTTCACAGTGCTCCAATGTGTCGGTTCATTTAGGTCAATATGGATAAAAATTATTATTTTTCTATATTTTTGGTTATTTAAAAAGTTGGCTTCATTCTCCTTGAAGATGAATAGAGTTTATTAGTCAAAACGTCAAAGGACTATCGTAAAAGTAATTGTATTTTTATATGTAATTCTCCAAACTCTAGTATACGAAATGTTCTTATTACGCTCAATGCAATAAATTCAGAGGCTATTAGGGGACAAGAGATAGCAAAATTGGGGCCAATACTTTTCTAATTACTTAGGATAATAAAAAGTGGGAGGGGGGCTTGGTTTTTCTTTTGTAACTAAATGAAAGAGATACGATGCTGTAGAGAGTCTATTATTCCGGCTGGTTTTGTTTGTTTCTGTGAAGTTTAGCATTACTCTTCTTGTACCGAGTCCTCAGGCCTTTTTCAATTTTTCTATTCGTGCATTAAAGGCCTCTTCCTGTATTTGCAGCTTTTTGTTTATCTCAGTCTGTGAAGACAATCATAAAAAAGTGGTTATGATGGAGCTATCTTTTGCTGCACATTGTCTTTGTGGTTTTGACATACTATAGTGCCTAAAGACAGACATTATCCCTCACACACCTTCCTGTTTTGCAGACATAGCTGTGTTTCAGCCTGTAGTGATGTGATAACACTTTATCATATTTCTCTGCACATTCCCAATGTATAGTATGTCTGCTATGAACAGGAAGTGGTATTTGGACAGCCATTTTTCACATAGCCTTGTGTTGGAAGATAGGATAATTTATCTGTATTTTCAGACAGACTTTACCAATAAGCACCAAATCAGAATAACTGCTGTGGGCTCAGTTAGTGCAGTGGTGTTGGTTCCCCCACCCCTTTGCAATGGATGTTTTTGTCTCCTGTGTAATACTTTCTAAATGAGATCCCAGAAACCTTCTGTTGTGAAATAACAACACAAATAATCTTACAATTAGAACAATTCTCATAATTAAGAGTATTCATCATACATTATAACTCTGGGAATGATGCCACTTTGTGGTATATTTTTGGTAGAGAAAAGTACGCAATTGCTGTCAGGTTTTAGTCATTGCTGAGGCTGTGATAGCATTTAGCCTCTGGCAGTGATATTCTGTGGACTAACATTGCTACCTGCACAATTCCAGAAATACTTTCACATTATCTGAACATTAGTAGCCCTGAATATGTCTTCCCTTTTTCACAATGGATAATAAAATTACACGCAGGGAAAGCAGTAGTGGTTGACGTGGCAAAACTGGTGTTTTTGTTGTTTTTTTACCTGATTTTAAAAATGTCTACACAGATTCGAGGAGTAGTTTATACATATGCGTTAATACATTCAAAGTTTAGATTATTAAAATCTTTAACATAATTTGAAGTCTTCAGGGTAACTGTACTTTGAGAAATGTTTATTACTTTAATTTAGATAGGAAAAAAATCAAATACTGTTTTAAGCCCAGATATAATTTTAAAATATTTATTTACATACTTTTTAGAATATAACTAAAATAGACAGTTTTGAAATGTCCTGTTACCTTATCTGATGATAATCTATTTCACCTCACAGTAAAAGTTGATATTTTGAGAAGTTCATATGTGTGTCAACAATTCTGGATTCAGAATTCACATGAGTGTTAGACTTTTCTGGTTCAAGTTATACTAAGCCTTGGGAATAATCTCTGGCCTCTGGTGCTTATCTTTTCCCTTCTTGGTGGTTGGGTGGAGGAGGAAAGGTAGAATGAAATGGTCCTGCAGGTTACAAAGAAACTCTATCTTTTTCAGGATTCACTGATTCCCTCCCCATGCTGGTTGTTGGTAGAATTGGAAGGAACGCGGTCTAGGAGTGGGAAGATCTAGGCACTAGTTTAGCTATGTAGCCTTAGGCAAGTCACTTAACTACTCTGGTTGTTAGTTCTTATCTAAAAAATAAGTAGAAGAATGGTAATATGTCAACATTACACTCTAACTTTTAAGTCCATAATTTCAACTCCCAATTTTATGACATACTTCGTCAATGTTTTCTTTCATTGATATGATGTCATGAACAATTTAAAAAATTTTGTTACTCCTGTTTATCAAAACGAATTTATGGAATGCACTATATTGGACCACATAAGGATTGAAATAGTTTGATGAGCTATCACAATTTCAAAGGACTGGGAAGAATTGTTCTACCCAAACAATTGACTCTTCCCGCTTTCAGTTAATGTCCATCTACGCCCACCAGTAATCACATTTCTTTTCAGTCAAAGACTGATGTACTATCATCTACCAGCTTCTGTTCCGCTACTTCACCAGTGTCTTTGCATTAACCTGGAGACCTTTCTGGTATTTCACTGAGACAGTATTTGTCAAACAAGTGTAGACCTTGGGAAAATGTTCATGAAGGTATACCTAAAAGAGTGGTGTACTAACAGAGGCGTGTAATGCTTCAGATCTCCACACTTTAGTGATCAGTACTTCAGTTCAGGTATAACCAGCATGGCCTGGATGAAAAGACTCTATGTCTAGTCAAGATCAGACTGTCATTAGTTGGCTATGTCTCCTTGTTATCCCTCAGAACACTGCTGTACAGACAAGCTATCCCACAACCACTAGGATTGGGTTTGGTTCTTTTTCTTTAGGAAAAAGTGGGAAGCCCATGACCTGGGTTCAACAGCCTCTCATTGACCACTACCTTGAGATGATCTCATAGTCAGCTTTTCTAACCTGAAAAATTCTAAAAATACCTAGAGTCCCAAAATGGTAAGCTTTCCTCAAAGTTTTTACATTATTTTACCCTATTGCTTAGACAGGGCCAACAGCCAACATTTAACGCAAGGATTTAGTGTTAGCATTCACATTTCTCTGAAATGTAATTCTTTAAATATATTAAAGTTTGCTCCACTGGGTATAATTTTTATTATACAACTCAGGGCCAAAATAATTTCATTTTGAATGTATCTTTAAAATTAAAATACCTAAACTATGTAGGCTTAAAATGTTTGCTCTATTCAGTATAATTTTAATTAACATCTCAGGGCCAAGATAACTTCATTCTTAATAAGTCTCTAAAACTATAAAGTGAGTCAGTGAGAAAATAGGTGAATTAACATAAAAACATTAAGGATTCATACTACATTTTCAGAAATTTCTGTATTATAACAGGTGAAATCCATCTGAAACCACACTAGAGGAGCTCTGAAAAGTTAAAGCATGAATTCTCTGTTACTTTTTTGGGGGGAAAGCAAAAATTGTAATAATAGTAAGAAGGAGAAAAAACTATAGGGAAATTTAAAACATCTTATGAATAATAATTCATTAACTGTTCCTATGGCACATTAGTGTGTTCAGATGGCATATACACTGACCACTGTCATGCATCCACCTTTGCAAGAGATGTGACAGGTTTTAGAGCCAGGAATACTGGAAAGCAGATTTTAGAAGTGGAAAATTACTTACCCATCTAAAATAGAAGGAGAAATTTAGGTAAGCAGAGGGTAATTACCCAACTTGGAATTTGACCAAGACACAAGGGTAAACACTGAAAAAGTGCCACACCACGGGAGTATTAAAATCCAAAGTAGTCTGGTCGTGATATTAGACATTATGTGGTTTTTGTGGATAATGATGGAATTAGAACTAGAACCCAGTTCACAGCTTCCATTTAGGGCCTTTTATTAGTTGTCAACCCTGAATACTCTGGACAAATTACGGTCTTTCTGTGTCTGATTGTTCAATTTATTGGGGGAAGCGCCTGCCTAATGTGCATGGAGTTTACTAGGATTACTGAGACAAAACACATAAAGGGGTTTGCCATCTTGAGACATTATATAAATCCACATCATCATGCCATTTCATTGAAAACTTGGTAGTAGTTTGGCCTGGGCTGATGTCCACAAATCCACTTAAAATGGAAGTGATCGTGGTACTTATAGGTATAGGATCTGCATCCCTCTCATCTGATCCACGTTTTCTCCATACCTAATTACATTGAGGTGAGCAAGCTAACGAACTTCCAGGACAGCTTCAGGCCAAGGGGAAGTAGCACACACATACAGCAATCATATTTTTTCTGTTATAGAGTAGGAATATAAATGTGGCAGGCTCTAATATTTTTTTTAAAAAATTCAATGAATAGTTAAAAACATACTATTCACTGCATGGAACATGGCCTTGGTAAAGATGTTTTCAATTTTTGGGGGCCTGCAAACAATTCGATTACTGTCTAGTAGTTTCTCAGCAATAATTTCAGAGCCGCAGGATCGCAAAGGAGCCCAGGGCCATGATTATACATAGACTATATTTAGATGAAATGTTATCAAATCTAAAAAGGAGATATGTTCTGAACTCAGTTTAATTCAGCTGCACTCTGCCCTTCCACACAGTAACCAGTTATTACATCCACTGGAGTTGTTAACAATAAAGCTTTGTGTAAAACGTGTTCTTCCACTATTTCTGGTAAACACTAAACACCCCTTATTAAGCCAAGGACTCTGGCTTATTCTGTTGGCACCAAATCATTAAATAGTGCAATAACATTTGATGATTAAACAAGTGACAAGGTATGCTTATGCCAAGCTAATCTTTTGCTCTTTTTAAATTTGTTGTTAATACAGTGTGTTTTTAATATATAGTCTCATGTTTCAAATGATAACTAAATTTTCCCCTGAGATGCATGTGTATTTTAAATATGCACTATGTTGTCCTCCTGATTTATGGTCATTTCCACTAGAAATTGCAAATTTACTTAAAATATGCATTTTACTGATTTAATCATTTGGCCTGGAAAATTATGTGAATTCCTGTAAGTCATTGTGTTGAGGTAGAAATGGTCGTCTGTTGTTTGGACAGAATGAGAAAGGATTAAGCGTAAAGCTCAGTTCATTGATAAATCACTGGCAGCTGCTACAGAGGTGGCTCCTGCCATCGCCATTTTCATGCCATTATTGGTGTAAATTGCTTAGCTATTAGTGATATGTGAAAAGGAACAAATTGTCTGAGAGGGAATTCAAAGACTTGAAAGTCTTTCTTTGGAAATTTGGCGAGAAGACTTAGCTAAGAATTATGGTTTGATCTTCAGTGTTTACTGTTCAGAAATGTACTCCAATTACTTTTGCGTGAGCAGTGTTTACAGTTTGACAAGGTACGAAGCCTTTACCATGTTATTTTTTTGGTTTCAATGTTGAATGATTTTATAAACTGATAACGTACACCACACTAGATGCTGCTGGCAAATCTACTTTGTGATCTTATTCACTCAGATGATCAACTGAGAATTATGTGAAGATGTTAAATTAAACTCCATCATAAGTAACACTCTTGCTGGCAGAGTGTCGGTAGTATTTACAGACATTAAGTTTGAGGTTGGCTAATTAATAATAAAGTAAGTGAACATACTATCAATACTAAGTACCTGAATGCGGATTAAAATGTCATCTGTGACTTGACCCAGCACTGATTTTACATCTTCAATGGTGAAACCAACTAAAGGATCTGTGTCTGGAGTGTCAGTTTCTGACTTGGACCCCTCAAGGCCTTGTTCTTGATCCAATCCCTAGAATATTGAAAGTAAACAACAGTCAGGTGATTTCTAGAGCATTAGGAGATTTACATAGAACCTCAAAACTCTGTTTGATACTTTTCTACCAGGGACAATATCATTTCAGAGGGAGATTTTGATTTGCTGTTACTCTGCATTTGTATTATTATTCATGAGGTTTATGACATGTCAAGTCATGATGCCAAGGCAGTGCTTACTTTTGGCAACGTGAAGGTGGAGATTAGGAAGTGTGGGGTGGAAGAGATTAAAACTGCTGAACCACTGTCATCTGGCCCATCTTTGAATCAACACTTAGGGAATATGCATTTGGTTGGGAATCAGAGGCAAAGAAAATGGAAGAACATTTGGTTTATTTCCTCCCACCCAAGTGTATGTAAAGCTGAGATAGGGTGAATGAAAAGACAAAAGGAAACATACCTTCATTTCTGTTTCCAATGTCGGGAGTGGTTTTATGAATGTTGAGTAAATATCAAATGAGATTCCTTCTTCCAGAGGATCCGGGAAAAGGCCACCAGCAGGCTTGACAACCTCTATCACTTGCTGATGGGAACAAAAGAGCTGAATTATGACATAGCCTTTGATAAGCAACCACAGTTTCAGTCAGTTCCCTAGTATATGTGCCATAATCCTAAGTCTGTTATCCTTTCAAGTGCCATCTCCTTGAAGAATTCTTGATGCATTGCCCTCCTGGTTCTCTGATGCTTTTTGAACTCCATCTATCACAATTAACGTATTGCTTTCCCACTGTCTCATTCTCTTTCCACATTCTGTGGTTTAGGATTTTATTTAGTACTGCCTAAATTTGTTCTAAAAGTATTTGTCTTTTCATTGTTTCATGCACAGTAAACCCTTACTCCTGCCTACAAGCTCTCTGTAGGTAAAGAACAAAGTTTTAGATGTCCTATATATCTTCTCTAGATCTGGCAGAAGGTTAAGTGCTTAACAGCCTGGTAGGGGTTGATATTCAGCAGAATGTAGTTGCTGATGTGACCATCAAGAACTTGGTGATGAGGTAGATCAGAGGGATTTACCATAAAACAAAGAAGACAGGGCAAAACTTCACCATGAGCGTTTAACAATTCTTTAGCAAGAGTGAGCTAATCAGAAGAAGGCAGGTGGTTGGTCAACATCAGTAATGAAGAAGAAGGAGAGTCAAGAAAACCCACTTTGGCAGTCCTCATCTCATTGTGACGTGGGAGGAGAGAAAGGAGAGATGAGGTTACTAATGAAATTAAACATCTGAATCATCTAAATAGTTGTTCTTGTCCTACTTCCATGTTTAACAAGCGACATTTTGATCATAATTTGGTTTCCCATCTCAATTGACCTATAAAGACACACCCACTTCAATGTTCTGGTTTCCATGCCTATTATTACACATTCTTCACTATAAGTTGATAAATTGTTCCAGTTACTGTAGGAAACTGTCATGAGCTTGTTATTGAGTCCCTGAGATGTAGTCACCCACAGTATGCTGACAAAGTCAGGTCCTGAACCTAAAACTCTGAAGACAAAACTTTGGAAATGCGTAAGTTCACCACATAATTATCCTGTGAAGCCTAGATTAAAAAAAAACTTGAAATAATCTTACGCTCATTTATAATTTCTCTACATTTCAAATAAATTCCATGTTATATTTTATCATTTAAGTATGAATGTTTTTTATTTAGATCGATTTTGGAATGTACTAAAAGCTGTGCTATTTTTGGTCTTGCCAATGTACATATATTTTACATTGAATTAATATTATTAATTTTGACTTGATTTTAAAGAACGCTACGGCTTGGCGTAGATGTACAGAAGCACTGATGTGTCCTAGTTTTATAGACAAGGAGATTTGGAAACCAAGAGGTTAAATGATTGGCCTAAGGTCAAGTAATTACTTCATGACAGGGCTGGGAGTTAAACCCTGCTGTGCTGACTTCTTGGCCTATGCAGTTTTCAGCAAACTCTAATACGTCATTAAGTTGCCATATTTGGAAATTATTGATATTATTAAACACTTAATTTTTATTCTGTTAGGTCACATCATTCTAGATTGTTTATCTTAAGTCAACTAAATGTTAATCAAAATAGAATATTGAGAACACATATCAGAACAGTTCTTTTCTCTCATCTACATTCATGAGTCATTACATTTTTCCTAAATGGGGCATACAAGCATTTCCATCTTTCCACAAAATGATTTGTACCTTTTTTCACCACTCTTGCTTTTCATCCTCCCACAGCTTCTATTGCTCTTTATTTTACCAAGCTAGGAAAAGGAGAGAGCTAAACAGATTTTAGTGGCTTCCAAAACATTATAGGTAAAATAAATAAGCTGTGCATGGGAATCAGAGACAAGGGAAGATGATGAGATATTTACTTAGTGGTATAGACTTTAATATAGGGTGAGAAACAGGAAGTCTGGGGCAGGGGTGGTGGGGATGAGAGAGACATTGAAAAGAATAGAGAAAGGAGCTGAATGGGGTTTACTGAATTTACTGCAGGCACTGGGAAAGTAATCGTGAGCTAATCTGAAAGGTAAAAGTATTGTTTTTAAGTAACTTTTATCTGGTTTGCTGTCACCATATTTGTCTTGCTGCTATGCTTTTTTATACACAGGCGAGGACTTTCTCCTAATTTGTCCTCAGCCCCTGATGGAAGTTCTCAGTAGCTTTCCTCTCCATCTTGGTAGTGGTAGGTTGTACTGTCTGCCCACACATTCCCTTTTCCCCACCAGATTATACACTTAAATGCAAGCAGTATTTGTGCTTAATTTCTTGTTTTATTCTTCACACTCCTGTGGTCTGGATTTCTTTATAAGGGTCATCTGAACTACTTGCCAAATACCCAGTTTGCCGATCTTTGGTGCTCAGTGTGTGTGTGTGTGTGTGTGTGTGTGTGTGTGTGTGTGTGTGTGTGTGTGTGTGTGTACTGAGCACACACTTAGAAACTTGGAACTTTCTAGCTCCACACTATCATTTCTCTGATGGACTGAAAGTTCACTTATCCCAGGAACCTGAAGTTCTGACTGAAAGTTGGGTCTTTCTTTTCCTTGATTTTTTAAAATGAGTGTAGCCCATATAACTATTAACTTGACTTAATTTGTGTGCAAAAACTGAGGGTGAGAATTTGTTTTCTTCAGGGTGTTTTGCATACTGATAATGAACCAAACCATAGCTTTGTTTTTCTCTTTCACGAAGAATTACATTTAGTTATGTTAGTGAGATACTGTAAGGGAAAGGTCCCAATTTTAGATGAGAGTAAGCACAAAGTATTTTCATTAATAATAATAAGGTACACTGTCAAATATATAGCTTGAAATAAACATAATGCCCAGAAGCATCACAGTGATGTTTTTCCCATTAAAAATGGTAGCCTTTTTAAAAAACAGGTTTAAGAAAAATTAGAATCAATAATTGTGGTGAGAGCACAGAGCCAGTGAATGTTTAAATGAAACCGCCTGATGCAATACTTTCTTTAAAAAAATACAATTAGACCTTTGTATTTTTTTAACAAAACCTCATGTTTTACAACATCACTGGTTCTGTAATAAAATCTATTTAAAACAGAGAGACATGGTCAGCTTTATTAAGTTAGATTTTCTGAAAGAACGTTATAATTTCCTCAAGTCTATGAATAGTTGAAGCAAATTAAATAAAGCTAGTTCTATAACTATTTTTATACATTCTTGTAGAATTGTAATTGTCTCATATTTTTTTCCTCAAAAGTCTAATATGTTACCTCTTAAATCTGGAAAAATAAAAACAGAAAAAGGATCAAGAATGTTTATTAAAAAAACACTCGTATTTGGTACCCTGATTTAGCAGCCTCCCTTTTTCTATATGAGAATAGCACCCATAATCTTCAGATCAGGAAACAAAGGGAAGGACTTTAAGTGACTTGCCTGAGGCCTAATGCTGAGATTAAAAATCAGGAGTTTCTGATTATACACATTCATCCATTTGGCCAAATGATTGGTTTTGCTTGACTTTCAAATACCCCCTAAATATTACTTTGAATGTAAAGCAATAAATGTGTTTCTCTTGCCGTTTTTGAATACTTGCACACAAATGGATATAATAAAAACAATCATGTTGTTCCATGTGAATGCCATTTATATTTTTTCTGATAATGAGCAGACCATTCGAACCAAGGTGAGTACATTAAAAGCTCTAATAAAGAAGAGACTAGATTTTTAAACAGAATAATGGACTGTTAAGTGAACATACAATAAATAACATCTACAGATGTGGTCGCTAGAAAATTAGTTTTGCATAACTTGCCAATATACATTTCCCCCAGATGTTATCTGTTACATGAAAATTAAGTTAGTTATATTCATTATGTGCACATTGCATTAGTGTTATTTAAGACAGTTTACATCTTTAGTTGAATTGTGCTATGGTATTTAAGGTTGAATTGTACTTTAAGTTGAATTGTGCTACAGTATTTAAAGAGTATCAAGTAAATGACTTTTTGGCATAAAATAATACTCATAAGTATAGCATTTCATCACCAAAATTAATGTAGCTTAAAGAAAATCCAAGATCTTTACTTACAAGCCAAATAAAATCACTAGAAATCTTTTAAAAGTTTGCATATTTAATATGAAATGGACATCCACTATGGGAATAAATGCTAAGAATTCTGAACTCTCTTGGTACTAAGTACAGGGTCAATTTGGATCTAAAAACATGCTTGTAAAAATTAGACTCTGCTTCCAGATCTTACTGTGTCTGAGAAGTAGAATAAAAATTTTATATGAAAATTGTATCACTTCATGTTTTCTTTTTCTACTTTGCTTGTTAACATTATGGATATATTAGCTCTGATTTATTGCTTTTCTTTAGTAAAGCTTCTTTGGAGAGAATATAGGTAGTTTGTGGGTAGAGTTTGTACCACTAAAATCTAGAATTAAGGTGGCAATTATTAAATTATTAAAATATATTATTAAATTATTCAAGATACTGCAAATGCTGTTGAGATTACAACTTTTCACTATTTTGAATGGCAGAAAGCAAGATAAATCTGTTAAACCCTTTTTGAGTCACAGGCACACAGACAAAAATACTGGTTAGCTTTGAAAAGACATTTCTTTGGAATTGTCAGATGATGACTTCATATGTAAATCAGAACTTACTACAAAATGTCAAAGTTTCAAAAAGCAAACTTTATTGCAAACTTTCCTGACTATTAACTAAGGAAAAAAGGCACAAAAATTCTTGTAATGTTTTAACGATTCCCCCTTGAAGAAAGGCATTACTCATTTGCAAGTCTAATTAAGAAGTACTTGTGTGGTTCTGGAAATTTTAAACAAAAAATTGTAACCTATTGCCTACAATGTAATGCACATAAAGTAACAACATATGAATGCCACCTGCAAAATGCAATAAACTCTAGTAATGTCATACTGAGACCATAAATTTTAAATGAAAAGAGGAAATTCAAAAGCTCAGATTATCAGAGAAATGAATTAATCCATTTCGAAACTATTTTTCTTTTGTGCTAGGATCATTACAAACTTCTTAACATACTCTGTAAATGTAGAATATCAA